TGCTATCGATCCAGGACTTGTTAAGTGCTCCCAATCCAGATGATCCATTAGCAAATGATGTAGCGGAGCAGTGGAAGACCAACGACGCCCAAGCCATAGAAACAGCTAGAGTATGGACTAGGCTATATGCCATGAATAATATTTAAAATTGATCCGATCATCAAGTGTGCATCACTTCTCCTGTTCTGCCAAGACTTCCTCCTTTTTGTTTGCATTTAATGGACACAGTCTTAGAAACATCACAGAATAAAAAAGCCCAGACATCTTCAGTCCTTTGGTGATTAAATGCACATTAGCAAATCTATGTCTTGTCCTGATTCACTGTCATAAAGCATGAGCAGAGGCTAGAAGTATCATCTGGATTGTTGTGAAACGTTTAAAAGCAGTGGCCCCTCCCTGCTTTTATTCATCTCCCCCATCCTAGTTTAGGTACAAAGCACTGTGAATGAAGGTAGTTAGTCAGGTTAGCTGCAGGGGTGTGGGTGTTTTTCTTTATTTTATTTTACTTTTTTTGAGACGGGAGGTAGTTTTATTTTAATTTTATGGGCTCCTTTCCCCCTTTTTTAGTGATCTAATTGCATTGGTTAAAAGCAGCTAACCAGGTGTTTAGAATACGCTCTCTAGCCAAGTCTAATGTTACTTAGACACTGTAGATGGACAAGCTTGATTGTTTGAACCAAAATGGGAACATTAAACAAACATCACAGCCCTCACTAATAACATTGCTGTCAAGTGTACATACCCCCCTTCAAAAAAAGCTTGTGACCATTTTGTGTGGCTTGTCTGGAAATTTCTGTAAATCTTATGTTTTAGTAAAATATTTTTTGTTATTCTAAAAAAAAAAAAAAAAAAAGAAGTGGAGTTCAAAACATAAATCTATTGGTCTTACATCACTGAAGACCAAGACTACATCACATTCTTAAGAGGGATTTATAAAACCAAAGAAGAAAGAAAGAAGGGCAAATTTCTGAAGAGTACAATGTCTAAATAAAAGGAGCCTAAGAAAGGCTGTGTCAAGGTTAGGAGTCAAAAGAGGATAGAGCTGTAGGATGAGGAGAGAGTGGCCAGTAACTTTAGAGACAGGGCTCTGCTGCTCTTTCCTCAGCCCCATACCAAAGGACTACTCCCAAACTCTGTGGAAAAGAGATCCATAATTTAAGAGAAAACACAGGTACGCTCATGAATATACTCCAATTGTTATGCCAGTTTCTACTCATGTGCATCAATATACATTGAGGGCAGAGGCTTTGACTTCACAGAAACATTAGACAAAATTTTTGATTCCCTTTCTTCATTGTTAAAAATAAAATTAGGCTGACCACGGTGGCTCATGCCTGTAATCGCAGCACTTTGAGAGGCTGAGGTGAGTGGATCCCTTGAGGCCAGGAGTTCCAGACCAGCCTGGCCAACATGGCAAAACCCCGTCTCTACTAAAAATATAAGAAAATTAGACAGGCATGGTGGCACACGCCTGTAATCCCAACTACTTGGGAGGCCGAGGCAGAAGAATTGCTTGAACCTGGGAGATGAAGGTTGCAGTGGGCCAAGATCACGCCACTACACTCTAGCCTGGGCGACAAAGGGTGACTCTGTCTCAAAACCAAACAAACAAAAACAAAAACAAAAAACAAAAAAAAAATTATAATGCTATCTACTTCATATGGAATACATTAAGTCAATATATTTAAAGTGCTTAGCAAAAAGTTGGCACAGATTAAATATCCACAAAATTGTTGTTAGTATTTGCATATTACTAATGTTAAACATTTAGTAAAAAACATTTCATTCTCCTAAAATTTTGTGTGTACGTGTATGTGTGTGTGTGTATGTGTGTGTGTGTGTGTATTTGAAAAGTCTTGAATGAAAGAGCTCCTCAAGCCAATACTGAATAAGAGAATTTACTGACTCATTGACGGTCACTTTCTCTTGTTGTATGTTGAGGGTCTGCCATGCTGGATCTCTACTTCCTAGATACACAGATAATATTGTAAAATAGAATGAAGAACCTCTAAACCAGAGTTTGTGTTGGGACTGATACTGATGTTCTGCCAAACTTGTTTGAATCTTAACTAAAGTCAGAATTATTAGAAAATGTGTTATGGTTGACCTATTGCTCTTAATTCAGGGTTAACCAGACATTTCTGAACGTGTTTAATGAATATTTTCAGTTACATTAAATTTGGTATGCCAAATTAAAACAGTCCCTTAAAATTTTCTTACATTGCATTAGGGTTTTTCCCCTCAGTACTAGTGAAAATCATAAGTTGATTTGGAAATGCATTTTTTAGGTGACTGAATTGAACATGGAGTCAGTAGAAGATTTGAAGATTGAAACTGCTGATTTCTTAGTTTGTCAATAACTTTTTTTTTTTTGAGGCAAAGTCTCGCTCTGTCGCCCAGGCTGGAGTGCAGTGGCTGGATCTCGGCTCACTGCAAGCTCCGCCTCCCAGGTTCACGCCATTCTTCTGCCTCAGCCTCCCGAGTAGCTGGGACTACAGGCGCCCGCCACCTTGCCCGGCTAGTTTTTTTGCCTTTTTTAGTAGAGACGGGGTTTCACTGTGTCAGCCAGGATGGTCTCGATCTCCTGACCTCGTGATCCGCCCGTCTTGGCCTCCCAAAGTGCTGGGATTACAGGCTTGAGCCACCGCGCCCGGCCAACTTTTTTTTATATCATTAGTATTTCTTAGCTTTGATCCTTATATTGCCTACCTTCTTCTAAAAAGATAAAGGAAAAAATATTTTGTCTTATTTCTGAAGTCAAGAGGCAATCTTGCAGAAATAGTTAAGATACCCAAGCAATATAATTTTTAGTAAAAGGCACTTAAGAGGATGGGGGAAACTATTTTTAATTTAGACTTAACGAGAATGGCTGAATGTATTTTATACTATATACATGGTGACTCCAACCTTCTCTATCTTTCACAAATCCCCATAGAAGACAGACCACCCCACACCAACTACACAAACACACACATATAAATACATACATCCCTCTTGGTAGTTATAGTTGCCAGATAAAACACAGGATACCCAGTTAAATTTCAATTTCAGAAAAACAATGATTAAAATTTTTAGAATAAGTGTATTCCACATATAACTCTTTTTGTTGTTTTTCTAAAATGTAATTGATTTGAACTGAGTCTCCTGTATTTTAATTTGCTAAGTCTGGCAAACTTATCAATAGGTGAACACGCTACCTCCATGACAGATATATTTTGAAAGGTAAACATGCGCTGTCTATCTGCTTTCCATTGTTATCAACATCTTTACATCTGAGTATCAAGCAACCAGCAGAGTAAACAATATTGCTGAATATTCTTTTTTTTTTTTTTTTTTTTTTTTTTTGAGACAGAGTCTCACTCTGTCGCCCAGGCTGGAGTGCAACTCGGCTCACTGCAAGCTCCGCCTCCCGGGTTCACGCCATTCTTCTGCCTCAGCCTTCCGAGTAGCTGGGACTACAGGCGCCCACCACTACGCCTGGCTAAATTTTTTTGTGTATTTTTAGTAGAAACGGGGTTTCACCGTGTTAGCCAGTATGGTCTTGATCTCCTGACCTCGTGATCCACCCGCCTCGGCCACCCAAAGTGCTGGGATTACAGGCGTGAGCCACCGCGCCCGGCCTGAATATTCTTTAGTCTATCCAATCATTCTACAAATGATTTGTATATCTCTTGGCATGTGCCTTGGCTGAAACATAATACTTAACTATATTTGTGTTTATTTCATTTTTATCCAAATTTTAACAGTTATCTATCTGCCTTCTTAGAGCAGTGATTGAAAATCTGAGGTAAGTGTCATCTGACCAAATTTTGGGTCTAGATTATGCCTTTTCTTGATAATAATAAAGACATGCTTTACAACATTGAAATTAAGATTACTGAGGAGCAGAAATATGGTTATATGCAAGAAGCAATATCTTTTCACAAACTGTTTTTCTCTCTCTTCCACAAGATATGACACAGTATTTTATATATTAATAATATTAAGCATTTAATGTCAATCTTATAACATCAAATGTTTGTTATCATTGAAGAGTTCTTAGCAAAACTTGAAAAAGTACATCATTTCTTCCAGTAAAATAATAGAAAAGAAAGAACATTTTTCCCTGTGAAGTGATCTTACAAGTGTGACAAATGATTTATCAAAAGTAAGAATGGTATTTATTATAATTCCAAAAAGAAAAGTTACATTTTAAATTGATTATAACAGTCAAAACTCAACGGATAAAGGCAGCTTGTAATAGTATTATACCAACTTCATATTCAATGAAATTTTGACTTTCTACTCAAACAATATTGTCACCATAAATTTTTCTACAGTAGTTTTATAAATATGTAATTTCAGAAAACCTGAATGTCAGTCCTTTACTTAAACCATTTTAAAATCACACATAAAGAGTCACACTTACAATACTCATCTACTGCTAATGTTACTCTTAGAAATGTTGAAAATTTCTCTGGATCTAAAAATACTTGGCTTTATAAGAAAAGTAAAGAAGCATAGAGTAAAACCAATTTTAAGAACAACCACATTATGTATTATTTTGTGTGTCCATTAAGTTTTTTCTTGATAGATAATATTTTAGATATTTATGGCATACATGTGATATTTGGTCCCATGCACAGAGTGGACAATGATCCAGTCAAGGTATTTGGGGTGTCCATCACCTCAAGTATTTACCATTACTATGTTGAGTGTTGAGCCCAGGATGTATTTTGAGTGACCGATGATGTTTAATTATTTTTTATATGTTGTAATATCTTCGTACATCATTTGGTTTACCTTTTCTTCTTTTTTTTTGAAAGGAGCCTTGCTCTGCTGCCCAGGCTAGAGTGCAGTGGTGCCATCTTGGCTCACTGCAACCTCCGCCTCCAGGTTCCAGCGATTTTCCTGCCTCAACCTCCCCAGTAGCTGGGATTACAGGCACCCACCACCACGCCCAGCTGATTTTGTATTTTTAGTAGAGATAGGGTTTCACCATGTTGCCCAGGCTGATCTCAAACTTCTGACCTCAGGTGATCCGCCTACCTTGGTCTCCCAAAGTGCTGGGATTACAGGCGTGAGCCACCGTGCCCAGCCTCTCTCAGTTTTTTATCTTGTGCAGTGGGGAGCCCAGGTTCAGTCTATTCTTAAATCCAATACATAACTAAAACTTTGGAGAAAATATGTGAGGTGGGTTAATCCTGAAGTTTTTATGAAGAAACACAACTCTCTGAAACAAAGTCAATCTTCCATGCTATTGGTACAAGTGGATCTCGTTTCCCTGCCTGGACCTTGCATCTGCGCACGCTTCTTAGTCATTAATTAAGCACAAGGGTTCTGGAAACAGATTTCTATCTTGGCCTGCCCCTTGCTAGTTACTTGACCTTGTGACAATTAACATTGTGCCTCAATTTCCTCATGTAAATGTGGGAAACAAAACCAATACTTAGCCTTTCTCACATAATTACGAGGTTTAGCTCACGTAATCCAGCGTTACTCAAAGTTGAGGTTTCCTGGAAGGGAAAAATTACTTATACTGTTTTTAATACATCAGCTAATTAAAATGTGAGAATCAAAACCAATGCAGAGCTTTCCTCACATAAATACGAGGTTTACCTCACGTAATTCAACGTTTCTCAAAGTTGAGGCTTCCTTGAAGGGAAAAAAATTACTTACACTGTTTTTAATATATCAGCTAATTAAAATCATATGCAGCATTAGGTTAAAATCTATATGTGAAGGACTCTGGCACTTATGTAATCATTTTCAGAGTATCCGGCAAGATGGCAGAGGTAGAGCAGAAGAAGTGGACCTTCTGCAAGTTCACCTACCGTGGTGTGGACCTGGGCCAGCTGCTGGACATGTCCTGCGAGTAGCTGAGGCAGCTGTACGGTGCACGCCAGGTGCGGCGGCAGAACGCCGGCCTGCGGCGGAACGCTGAGGCGCAAGCAACACTGGCTGCTGAGGCGCATGTGCTAGGCCAAGAAGGAGGCTCCGCCCATGGAGAAGCCGGAAGTACTGAAAACACACCTGCGGGACATGATCATCCCGCCCAAGATGGTGGGCAGCAGGGTGGGCGTCTACAACGGCAAGACCTTCAACCAGGTAGCGATCAAGCCGGAGATGATCAGCCACTACCTGGGCGAGTTCTCCATCACCTACAAGCCCATGAAGCACTGCTGGCCTGGCATCGGGGCCACCCACTCCTCCCGCTTCATCCCCCTCAAGTAGTGGCTCCGCTAATAAAGGCACACATATCTCCCCCCCCCGAAAAAAAAAAAAAAAGACATTTATAAAGTGACTACAAAGAAAACAACTATACCAATAGTATGCAGATCAATAATAATACTTTTTTTTTTTTTTTTTTTTTAAACACAGAAGCTGTTGTTTTGTTGAAACCGAATTACCATTTGGAAAGTGATTGTCAAACTGAGTTCAGTTTGCTGGTGCAAACTTGAATATACCACGATGACTGTTTCCCCACTGCTCTGTTCTATTCAATCTACTATATAGTGTTTGTGTATTTGACTTCTCAGTAGCACTACCATGTTACTATGTTTTAAGTCCAATTCTGTTTTTTTATCACTATCCTAACATAAATATAAGTAGTAAGTCTCCCTAATCATAAACAAAAGCAAGCAAGATGATGAATTGATGAGTAAGACATTCTTTCATGCCAGGAAGACAGTAAAATCATGCTATGATACAACCTCTGCCCCCATTACAAAGCAATTGTAGATAAAACAGAAAAAGACAAAACGTGAAAGATAGAGCTGGCCTTAAAAACTGGACAGACATTTTCATGAGCCATAAATATAAGTAGATGAGTAGGACTACATCCTCTGGCCTTCTGGGATTAAAAGCTCCAAAGCAGGCAGTAACAAGAGGCCAGTTTCTCTGGGGCCATTGGAATTAAAAGTACTCCCATACATGGATGTATAGAGCCAGACCTACTGCATATTATAGCAAAGATTGGATGCCCAGAGCTCTTGCTGCTTATTAGAAGAGGCTTCACAAAACAAAAAAACTGCGCTCTCTCAGGCTACAGATTATATGAACTTGTGGAATTATGAAAACAGAAAGCCACACTTTCAAAGGTAAGAAATGAATCGAATTCCCGCCTTGCTTAGTGGCCATCTCTGTTACTTTCCCGTGAGTCAGAGTAGCAAACATTTACTCTAAAACCCGGTTCTTGAATAAGCACCAGAGAGCAAGCTGGAGGCGAACCAACAAACTGATTAATTTTAAAACGGAAACGTAGGCCCGGCTCGGTGGCTCACACCTGTAATCCCAGCACTTTGGGAATCTGAGGCGGGCGGATCACCTGAGTGATCTGAGTGCGAGACCAGCCTGACCAACATGGAGAAACCCCGTCTCTACTAAAAATACAAAATTAACTGTGCGTGGTGGCGCATGCCTGTCCTCCAGCCTGGGCAACAAGAGAGAAATTTCATCTCAAAAAGAAAAACAAAACAAAAAAAAAAAACGGAAACATAAAAACCACAAAGAATCTCCCACACACACAAAACAAACCTGACAACCCAAGTTCCAAAACGGCTGAAGAAAGGTAAGAAAAATAAGACCGGGCATGGTGGCTCACACCTGTAATCCCAGCAATTTGGGAGGCTGAAGTGGGCGGATCACTTGAGGTCAGGAGTTTGAGACCAACCTGGCCAACATGGTGAAAACCTGTCTCTATAAAAAATACAAAAATTAGCCGGGCGTGGTGGCATGTGCCTGTAGTCTCAGCTACATGGCAGGCTGAGGCATAAGCATCACTTGAACCCAGGAAGCAGAGGTTGCAGTGAGTCGAGATCGCAGCACTACACTCCAGCTTGGGTGACAAAAGACTCTGTCAGAAGAGAGGAGAGGAAAGGGGAGGGGAGGGGAGGGGAGGACTCCAGCTCTACAAAAAATTAAAAGATAAAATTAGCTGGATGTGATGGTTGTACCTGTAGTCCCAGCTACTTAGGAAGCTAAGGCAGGAGGATGGCTTGAGCTCAGGAAGTCCAGGCTGCAGTGAGCCCTGATTGCTACCACTGTGCTCCAGCCTGCATAAGAGGGAGGAAGGAAGAAAGGAAGGAAGGGAAGGAAGGAAGGAAAGAAGAAAGCTCTCAAAATCACCAACCAGAACCTGAATTCACCCAATATGAAATGTTCGTATGTATAAGATTGTAAAACTCATTAATAATTAACAGTTTACAATGCTTAACTGAAAAAATGACAATCACATCTATTTTTTAAAATGAAACAGAGATCAAATACAAGCAAGAAGACAGGAGAGGAACCCATAAGGACTCTTAAGAAAGAAATATGTAGTCACTACAATTACAAAAACAAAAACAAAAAACTTATCTCAGTAGACAGACCAAACTCACGACACAACTGCCACCATTGGGAAGACTAACTGAATTTCAAAATGATATTGAGGAATCTACTCAGAACACACTATAGAAACACCAACATATAAATATTAAAAAATTAAAGATATATAAAGTATAAAACAGGGAGCTCCAGCATATGTTTGGTAAGGGTCTCAGAAAAATGAGCTGGAAGTCCTATTTGAAAAAATACCTGGTAATAAACTTTTCAGCATCAAGGTAGGACATGGAGATTCAGATTCAGAAGGCATTCCAAGGACTAAACAGGATAGATAAACATCTTCCCACCTAAACACATAATAGAGAAACTGTACACATGAACGGTAAACGGAAATTTTTAAAATCCAGAGACAAATCATATTAACTAGCAAAAAATAAGAATTAAATCAAAAGAAAATGTCCTTAGCAATTGAAATAAATGCAAGAAGTGCTTTCAAAACCTAGAGAGAAAATAACTGTCAGCTTAAAATATTATCTCTAGCTAAAATCATTCATACAAAGATTAAGAGTCTACCAAATAAATTCTTAGTATTCTTAGTATTCTTAGAATTATTAAAGCATCAATTTTAATTAAAAGAAAAATGCAACCAGAGGAAAAGCATTAGGTAAAAACTTAATGGTGAATACAGATATTTTTAGAATAGCTGACAACTAATAATACTCAGTAGCTAACAACTTATATATATGATTTTATGTATGTGTATGTGTACATGTCTGTGTACGTGGTCCTTAAGGAAAAATGTAAACAATAAATAGTTGAGAAATGATTACAGAATAGTTTACACATACTGAAGTTATTATGTTCAAGAAAAGATAGCAGTATTATCTGGTCATCAAATTATTAAATCAAAATATATTGTTAAGCATGGATATTAAACTTTAAAGTTAACACTAAAATACAGAATCAGTCTTTTCTAAATCTGCAGAGAGAAAAAATATGTAAATGAGGGAATATGGAAACCTTTAATTCAAAAAAAGGCAGAAATAGAAAAAACACAGTCAAGAAAAAAATGGCACAAATAGAAAATGTGAAAGAAGGTTGTAGACATACACTCAAATATACCTATAAAGAAAATCAATGTAAACAAACTAAACTCACGAATTAAAAGGCATAATTAGGCTGGATACATTTACAAACATGGGATGATACGTTTCTTCTAAATCATATGCCTAAAACAAAATAGCACAAATTGGAATAAAGGCTTTGGAACCTTTATATCAGGATGTTCATGTAAGAGAATAGTATATAATGGTTAAACAGAATGGACTAGTGCCCCTACATGGCCCTTTGATTGGCAGGTGCTCCTTCAGATGATCCCAGCCCTATAGAGAACTGGGGTTGGAGTCCTAGCGTTGTCTGTTTTCACCTGTGTGACCTCATAGAAACTATTAACCTCTCTATGCTTCAGTTGTGCAAATTAGGGATAAAAATCACACCATGTGGATTAAATGATTTCATTTTTATCAAAGTGTTAGAAATTTGTTGACACATAGCTTTGTGTAAGGATTTATTAAATAAATACACTTAAGTTTAAAAAAATGTATTTGAATGAAATACAAAATTAGAAATAGATCTGGAGAATCACAAAGCAAAAGGGAATTCAAACATTTCCAAGATATTAAGTCCTAATATTAGAAAATGCTAACATTTTCATAGTAAAGCTTTAGCGAGGTGCCTGTATTCAGTAAGTGCTTGGCAAATGTCACCTCCAAATACAACAGCAGTCACAAAACCGTCACTCCAATTTCTTCTGCTTTTTCCTTTAACTTAGTTACCCCACATAATATTAAATACGCCTGAGAAAACTTCTGGTCTTTCTAATATGTGAATTCATCAATTCCTTCTATTCTTCCCCTCAAAAGTAGCCATCCTAATGAAAACAACATTTATGACACAAGATCCGGTTTCATTTTATGACAGGGCTAATTATTAGTCAATGTTTGCTTATGCTGAAGTAGAATCCATTTCTTTATTACTTCTATCCATTAATAATAGCTATGTTATCTGATCATGCTACATAGAAAACATCTCATTTTTCTTCCATGCTACAGTTTACAGTCATCTGAGGAAAAAAAAAAAAAAAAAGCATGTTGTCTTCTTTCTAGTGCTTTTCTTATTGAAGGTGCCTATTCTGTCATTATATAGAATATTTTCCCTCTCCCTATTGGTAGCTTCTCCTCCAGGTACATTTTTTAGCCAGGTACTTAACACTACATGCAATGTTTCAGAATGGAGCACTTCTTTACAGTTGTCTACACAGGCAGAGTGGACTGAACAATCTCTTTTCTTATTTAAATACTTTTATTCCATAGCTATTTGTGTTCCAGGTACTGTGTTAGGAATAGAAGATGAAAATGTGATCACAGAATAGACATGGCCTTGCCTCCATAGAGTTCAGTCTAATGGGAGAAGTCAAACAAGCCAGCCAACAACCACAAAGTAGTGTGATCAGGGATAGAATCGGCAAGTAGAGTGTAATGGGAAGACATAAGAGGGACAACTGATTTGATCACGGGGTCTTGAAGGTGAAATCTGAAGGCTCAACCCAAGGGAGTGGGGAGAATTATTTTCTACCTCCTAAGAGAACACATTGCCTTTGAGAAACTGATTGTGGTTTAATATGGTTGGATCTCACGCTGCAAGCTAAATAGGGGGTGAAGGAGAACACCTTGTAAGTAACACAACCCCAAATATGTAGTGCCTATCAAGGTATTTTTCTGAATAACATAGATCTATTAATATGAAGTAATATCAGATAAATTTCTTGGTGACCACATAACACTCTGGCACTGTTGATTTCAGGTTTATGTCCCACAGAAAGAACTCAATGTTGTTTTTTATTTGCACTTCCACATATGTTAGTTGGGTATGTAGATGGAA